AGGATTTGACGGGTCTTTTCCTGTAATTGGTGTCACTTCCACTTCCATTTTACCCCACCGTTTTTATTCAGCCCTAGTCTGGCATGCATCACCCTTCTGTTCCCATGCTCCATCTTCACTCGTGACTTTTGTCCAGTCCCTGGCCAGGTGGGCTGCTTTTTGCTGTGTGGAATTCTTGTTTTCCAATTTTTTAACTGGCTCTTTGGTAGGAGCCTCTTAGTTTCGGGTTACTGCACTGCCTTGTCAGCCATGTTTTGTTTTCAATGATATGCCCATATATTCCATTCACCAATACTTTCAATTTTGTTTCTTTATCTCTGCCTCACCCATCTCCCTTACCCTGTCTCTCTCCTGGATAGAACCTCAATGTAGTCCCCCATTCCCTTACTCCTTCCCATTCGAGCCATTGTTCACCTGTCCCTTCTATCACCTCTTCTTAAACACCTTTTCCTCCTCCTGTTGGTGTGCAGACATAGTTCATCAAACGTGTTCACTATTGATGTTCACCACACCTTATTTCACTGTTAATGTGTCCTTTTTCCTGACTGTTCTTTCATGCCCAACTCTTCAGGTGTTCAGGAGGGTACTCCCACCTTCACACCCATCTCCCTTCCTTCCATTTTACATTTTTTTTGTCCACCTGACTTTGATCACCTCCTCTGCCTGGTTAAGGCTCTGCTGTTATGTGGCACACAATTTCCTTCAATTTTCCCATTCCTTTTTGTTTATTCCTGTCTGCTCATTTCCATCATCCATTGGAGGACACCATTTGTGCCGGTATGTGGACATTCACTGTTCATTATCTTTACCAATGAAGGCTTCCTCCTGAGTGTGCTCAATCCCACTCAGTTGAGAGTAGGGCAATGGTTTTCTGCCCGTGTAGGTGGCATTGACGCTCTTGCTACAGTGGACCTGATGTACAATTCCAGATGCCATCAGGTGTTGGATGATGCATTCTGCCAACATGCAGTTTGCTCTTCCAATTAAGGCAACTTCCTTTCTATTGCCCCTGTCTGGCACTTAGAATAGAATATCAGGTTTGCAGTAGGATGAGCGTCAATGCCACCTACACTGGCAGAACACCACTTCCATACTCAATTACTCTTCTATGTTGGAGAGGGATGCCTGTCTCCTAGCCACTGGATTGGTGGACCATAGAGGCTTCCTCCTGAGCATAGTCAATCCCACACAATTGAGAGTAGGGTGGTGGTGATCTGCCAATGTAGATGGCGTGACTAACCTCCTACCGAGGTCTTGATGTATTATTCCAGATGCCATATGGTTTGGATTGGAGTTTTCTGTCAAATGCAGTTCACCCCTCTGGCTGGGAACCCTCCTTCATACTGCCTCTTTGATTTTGGTTCCTGGGCAACTGGTAGTGGTTGGATCTGGACCAGTCAACACAAGTCCTCACATGAGAGTGGGCTGGGACCCTTTTCCCACCATGGACTGGATGATATATTCCCAATGCAGCATGATTTTTGATTGGAGTTAACTCTCCACATTGCATTTTCAGCTTCCTACCATCATTGAGATGTCAGTTTCTGGGGGTACAGATGTTGGTTGTGTTGGATATGCACACATGATGACATGGGTTCTCAGATTGGAACTCTTTCTTCCCTTCTGGTTTCAGATTCCAAGGTGGTAGATGACTCTTCTCTTACTGTGGGCCAATTGATCCAATCTCAGTGCTGCTGGTTTTGGACTGGAGTTGATCTCCCATTTACAGTCCATGCCCTATTCACTCTATACCTGGGGCACGTACAGCTAATCTTCATATGTGCCTCTTTGCTGCCATTTTAGCAACCTATTCCTTCATTGAGGGTAAAGAGTATACCTGGTTCAGATATGGTGTGGTCTCCCATGAGCACACTTCTCTAGAAAGAGAAATCACACTCAGTGGATGTTTTTGGATGCTTTCAGTAGGTTGCTCATCTAGGTAACTTTTGCACCTGTCCCTCCACCACATCAATATGGGATTCTAGTTATTATATGAGAAGAGGTAAGATATTGTATTGGAAATTAATATTTTCCTACAGTGAAAATATATTTACGATAGACACTTAACTCCTCTCACAATTCCCACCCTTCCTCTCCACTTTGGTGTTTTTTTTGTGCCTATCTTGAAGTGCAAATTAGGTTCTACAGTATATAGGGAGTCAGCTGCGACAGGAGAGTGTCACACTCTTATTAGAGAGTTGTCACATGCTTATTTGCATGCTACAACACAGCTGAACCACGTGGAAACTTGGGCTAGGTGGGAGTTTCAAGGCTAGTAGCAAGTGAAACAATTTTAACATATAGAGGGCAGCACTGAATGAGAAGTTATTATGTGAAATGAGGCATCTATGGGAAATATATTTTCAGTGTAGGAAAATATTAACTTGTAGTATGTTTTGTTGAAACTACTAACAGATAAATTTGTCATGATCACAATTATAGTGTGCTCCAACTAAAACTGCTAAGTGGTGGATGTGTCATGATTACAGTTGTGGCATGTTTGTGTTGAACTGTTCATTGGTGTTTTTGTCCTGATAATTATAGTCTGTTCCTTTTGAAACTGCTAACTGGTGTGTTTGTCATGATTACAATTATAGTGTTTGTTGAAATTGCTACCTGGTGTATTTGTCATGATTGTAGTTATAGCATGTTTCTGTTAAGTCTTAGCTGGTGCATGATTACAATTATAGTGTTTGTTGAAATTGCTACCTGGTGTATTTGTCATGATTGTAGTTATAGCATGTTTCTATTAAGTCTTAGCTGGTGCATGATTACAATTATAGTGTTTGTTGAAATTGCTACCTGGTGTATTTGTCATGATTGTAGTTATAGCATGTTTCTATTAAGTCTTAGCTGGTGCATGATTACAGTTGTAGCATGTTTCTGGTAAAACAGCTGTGTGTTTGTCATGGTTACAATTAGTGTTTTGAAACTACTAATTTATTCATTTGTCCTGATTACAATTATAGCCAATTGAAACTTCTAACTGATGGATAAATCATGATTACAATTATAGCCTGTTGAAACTGCTAACTGGTGTATGTGTCATTGTGTGTTTTTCTTGAAAGTACTAATTGGTGCTTTTGTTGGGACTGCAGTTTTGGGGTGTTGAAACTACTAACTGCATTTTTCATGATTCCAATTATAGTGTTTCTATTGAAACATCTAACTCAACATTTATCATGGTTACAATTGTAGTAAGTTCTTGAAACTGCTAACTGGTGTAATTGTCATTATTATAATTATAGTGTTTCCATTGAACTTTCTAACTTGTGCATTTTTTAGAATCACAATTATAGTGATTCTGTTGAAATGGCTAACTGAGCCTTTGTGATGATTACAATTGTAGTGCTACTGTTGAAACTGCTAACTGATGTATTTGTTGTGTTTACAATTATAGTGCTACAGTTCAAACTGCTAACTGGTGTATTTGTTGTGTTTACAATTATGGTATGTTTGTGTTAAAACTGCTAACTGGTGTATTTGTTGTGTTTACAATTATGGTATGTTTGTGTTAAAACTGCTAACTGGTGTATGTGTCATGATTACAAGTATAGTGTTCTTGTTGAAACTGCTGTCTAGAACATTTGTTATGATTACAATTAAAATGTGTTTCTGGTGAAACAGTTAACTGGTGTACATGTCATGATTATAATTATAGTGTGTTTGTGTTGAAACTGCTACCAAGTGTATTTGTCATGATTACAATTGTAGCGTCCTGTTGAAACTGCTATCTGGCACATTTTTCACCATATAATTATAGTGTTCTTGTTGAAACTGCTAACTACTGTTGTCTTGATTACAGCTATGGTGTGATGCTATGGGAATTGTTTACTGGAGAGACACCTTATAAGGGTTTTGACACTTTTGCTGTTGCCTATGGTGTAGGTGTTCAAAAACTAACTTTACCAATTCCTTCTAGTTGTCCTTCCCCTTTAAGGATTTGAAAGGTAATA